AAATCTAACTTGTAAACAATGAAAACTTGTAAACAATTCTTTTCATTCAGGCATCTAGTAACACCTTAACTGTACCAAAGTGTACTTGGTAATTATTAAGAGCTACAGATGTTTATGCGGTACGTTCTACACAAGGACTCCTACGAGGACAGACTGAGAGAGTTGGGGCTGTTCAGTCTGGAGAAGAGAAGGCTCCGAGGTGACCTTATTGTGGCCTTCCAGTATCTTAGGGGGGCCTACAAGAAAGCTGGGGAGGGACTTTTTAGGATATCGAGTAACAACAGGACTAGGGGGAATGGGGCAAAGCTGGAAGTGGGCAGATTCAGGCTGGACATGAGGAAGAAGTTCTTCACCATGAGAGTGGTGAGACCCTGGAATGGGTTGCCCAGGGAGGTGGTTGAGGCCCCATCCCTGGGGGTCTTTAAGGCCAGGCTGGATGAGGCTCTGGGCAGCCTGATCTAGTGGGAGGTGTCCCTGCTCATGGCAGAGGGGTTGGAACTGGGTGACCCTTGTGGTCCCTTCCAACCCTGACAGATTCTGATCTGTTTTAGCAGAGAACTTTAGAGCCCTAAAGGCTCAATGGTTGGACTTGATGATCTTGGAGGTCCCTTCCAACTTAAATGATTCTATGATTCTATGCTTTACCAGCTGCTCATAAAAGCATCTGAAGGGCCCTCTGAATTGCAGCTATATGTGCAGCTCCACCACTAAACTGGACAGATGGTAAAAATACTTCTGACTGGAATATCTTTTCCAGTTCAGTCTGTGAAGTGCAATAATCGAAATTAGTGTCATAGCAAAACTTGCAATTAATATTTCTACTTTTGCAGATATCTAAGTAATTGTAGTAGTAATATGCTTCACTAGGAGATGTCAGGCTTGAACGTTTTTAGCTGTGTTGCACCAAAAGCAGGTGGTTAGACTGAAGTAGGACAATACAGGGAGACCTGAAAGTAACATTTCTTAATCCTCTAATTAATAGTGATAGGTAATTGATTGCTACTGTCATAACTGAATGAAATGTAGATTTTCTCTTTTACTATTCAAATTAGTTGGTTAAATTCATATCAAGTGACAGAAGGTATCAGACTAACCTCTAACAATGTTTTAGAAAGCTGAAGGAGCCAACAAACATTCCCATTATGAAAATAAACCTGACTTAATTGAGCAGAGTCTAAACTCTACAGAAGAAGGCACTCAAGAAACAAACATTCCAGAAAAAAACAGAGAAAATATATTCAAAATTATATGCAAATAATAAATATAGTTAGCATCATAGGCATCAAAAACATCTGTTGAGAGACATAAGGTGAACATATTAACCCTGTTATGAAGTACAGTTACAACTTGTCTTCATTGTTAACTCAAAGCTAGTATTTGAGTGTGGCTTCTGCCAAAGTTCCTCGTGGAAGACACCTTAACAGGTGTTAGTGATGGATAAAAGACAAAGTACTCCTGAACCCAAAACCAAACAGGAGGTGAGTAGTTACAGGATGACACTCTATATCCAGCTTTTCTGTTCACCTACATCAGGTGCAAGCAGTGAAACCTCAGCTCAGTAGGAATATTGTGTCTCAGTATGCAGGTAAAATAGCGATTCCTTTCCACACACCCCACAATAAACCCCCCAGAGAAAAACAGAGCAACATTCTCCTAGATTAAAAAAGTACTATGAGAAAATAAGCTATAAACTCAGATAGTAAGCATAAATTAAATTAATTATGTATGTTTTATAGAAATAAAAATATACATTAAAAATGTTAAGCTGGAAAAGGCAACATAGGTAAAAACCTCAATTCTGGTCAATCCCACTCACCATCAAGATTGAGGAGATAACCCAATACAGTTTAAAAACCTGCCTGTCCATTGTTTTTTCCAATTGAAATTATTCGGATTTTTTTTTTTTGTTATTGCTTAAAGGTACTTATAGGTATGTAATGAGGACAAGTAGAAACCAAGCACTTTTAAAAGCTGCAATAATATCCTTCCCAACCCATTTATGATTGTGTTTTCAATTACTGTTAAATAGTTCAGGGATGTTAAATTGCAGATTTATCTGACAGAATTCTCTGGAGGGACATGAGAAAAAGCACTAATGACAATGTCAAATAAATTACCGCCCCTCCACACACAACCCATCCTCAGTGTCAACAAGCACTACATTCTGAACACAAAGCAAAGGTACGAAAACAGATTGCCGTGCTCCTTGCCTCTTAAAAACAAGCAAACACTGATTCTTAAAGCAGTGGTAAAGTTCATTTTCTTACACAGATATGTATTTATGGAGAAACATTGTTTTGCAGTATTCACAGCTCGTAACTGCAATGAACAAACTGCCTGTTGAACAGCGTGTTCAGCATCCTACAGTTCAAACTGTCTTAAAATTACAACAAATTAGTAGGTTTCCCTCAACAACAGTTCCTACAATGTTACTAAATCATCTTTAGAAATATCTCATCTCATAGGATTTCAGAATCCCTTACATTTTACTTTTAGGAGTGTAATTTTAGGAAAGGGCTTATATTGAAAAGGAAACTAGAAAAAGCAAGAATTTTTTAAGCCAGATACACTATAATTTTTAGATTGATGCTAATCAAATCCTTACTTGTCTGCTCCAAGAAATGGACACCATGTGCCAGATAACAAGTTTTTTTTGAAAGAATGTGCAGCATTTTCAGGGCTGGGTTTCAGAATGATTAGCTCTATGAACAGTGCAGTTGTCCAATGGTCCACAGGTGTTTGACAAGAATTTCAATGGAAACTGTGGTATTTATTTACACATTCCACTGCTGCACTGGAAACCCAAACACAGTAGCTTTGAGCATGATATAAAGCTAACGAACAGGTATAATCTGCATTAAATGATTTAGAGACAATAAACCAAAATAATGCATGCACACAGACTTTTTCAGTCTTTCTCTTAATGCCTCTTCAACAGAGAAGTCTTCTTTGGCTGCAGAGACTGGCAGTCAGATATAATTCCATTACAATGTTAATAATAAAAACCCACAGATTGACTCTGGCTTTCACAACTGTTTTCCATTACTTCTGAATTTCATACCAAAACCAGTTTTGACAAAACAATTTCCTTTCACGCTACAAAGGAGGCTATAGTTTGATCGACGCAATTGCTACATTAGCTGTAATGAATAGCAGACAAAAGGGACATAAAGGGCAGAAGCTATCTTGGTAAAATTCAGTTATTAAGAAATTACTTGGGATTTAGTAGAGTCTCCATGCAGGATTGTTTTCACAGTACTGTGTTTGCATCACCAGTGAACCTGATGACCATGCTAACATTAGATATCCTTATTTTATATCACATTTTGTTGTAGCTTTACAAAGGTTTGCAGGTTTAGCCCTGCTCTACAGATGTGGAAGAGCTTTGGCACCAAACAGCTTGTTCAGTCGCTCAGAAAGGTAGCAGCAAAACATGAAACAGCTCACCCAGTCCCACTCCACAACTTTTTAGTTATTTTTCTGAAGTCATCACAGAGAACCCATGCCAGCTGCACCTGGAATTTATGACACTGAAAAAGCATGTATTACCCACTCCACTTCACAACATTTTTTGTTGGGAAGACTACTGATTTCCCAGATTATTTTGGAAATAAATCCACTAATCTTTCAAGTGCACTGCTCGACAGAACCAGCAGACACTAATTTTTGCAGATGTACCTATAGGGAAGCAGGACCACTCGAACAGCTTGTCCCACACACACTGAAAATTTTCTGCAAGTATGAGCTTCATCAGAAGAACTGGAATTTACAGCATGCAGCAGATAAGCTCGAAAGTCATAAGACCAGAAGGACTTAAGATATACAAGGAGGGTGAAGTTTCCCACATCAGCTCTGCCAAAGGGAGTGCACATGTTTTGGGTTACAATGTGATAATGGCAGCATCCTCTCAGGGCTATCACAGGGGACCCTTGTGTGTGACGTCAGCCTCCGTTTTCTGGGGATGAAACCCAATAGTATGAACCAATGGTTCTAGCTCTCTAGAACACCTTACAGAATGAAAAGGGTTGCTGCCTACTGGGGCCTGGAACTCCTAAGATGCTAGAAATGGCATCTGGAGATTGCACAAGGCTTATAATGAGATTTTTTTGGAGGAAAAACAAAAACAAACAAACAAACAAAACAAAACAAAACAAAAAAAAAAAAAAAGGCACAGTAAAATAAAAGGGAAAAAAGCAGCCACCTTTACCCAGGTGACTGGTCAGTATGCTTGTCCAGCAATGCACTGCACCCTACTGCCAGTCTGTGCCATCTTATTAAAATAAATTTCTACTATGTTCCTGAGTGAAGGGACTATCCTGCACATGTAAGTGTGTGTGGAGGTGTCCGTGCCAGCAGCTGGAGCTGAACCACACACAGGTCACAGGTCCAGGTGCCTGATGCACCAGCAAGTGGAGAGGCTGGAGCCCACGTGTGCTGCCTGGCTATGTGCGTCAGTGTGTGTGTGGCTGCTAGCAAACACCAAGCTGGACTAGCTGGCAAACAGGATAAGAGCCATGGGAGCCAGGGACTGGAGCAGCCTTGAACCTGGGCCAGACACTGCAGAGACCAGAGTGTCTGCGAGTGGGCTACTGGAGTGACCAGGAAACCCAAGCAAGTTACTGGAGAGGACAGGACATCTGCGATTTGGCTATGGATAAGTCCAGCTACCAGTGACATATTTGTATATATGCATCTGTTTTGCACAAGGTAACTAGGAGACCAGTAGATCCAGAAGCCCACCACTAAGCAGATCTAGGGCCAGTTACTGGAATCACAGAATCACACAGAATCACTTGTGTATGAAACAAGTATAAAATGTGTAAACACACATTTATTTAATGTTTGTTTCTTTTACTTTTCACCCAGTAGAACACCAAATAATGTCACCATTTCACAACCCTTATAGTGGCATTTCACGAACGCCTAGCAAGTAGCATATCATTCACAAGATTTAAATTTCACTTATGATAGGTGGCAGTAAATAAGAAAGACCATCTTACCAGCTTTGGGCATATTTCGTGTTTTCATCTCCACCTTGCTCTGCCCACTAAGGCCAAAACAACCTTTTGTAGTCTTTACTTTTTCCGTTGACTCCAGAGACTGTATAGAATTTGCGTTTTGATTCTGGCCATATATTTTAGAAAGCAATGAAGGACTTCTCTCTTTCTCATCTATCTGCAAAGGAGAAACAAGTTTGCAACAGCATTTCCTCCACGCAGTTGAAGAGAAGTGGAGAAAAGGACAATTTGAAGGGATGTTAATAGATACTAATCCTGATTATGAAACTATCTACATAAATATATACATCCCTACTCAAATATAAGCATCCCAGTGTTCACAACAAAAAGCACATGCACAGAATACCAGACACCACTTATGCAAGTAGTTTATGAATTTAATTTACTGTAGATAAAAATCAATGAAAACTGGGATGCTATTTTTTTTGGTTGATATTAAAGGTTTCAGAGAAAATTCCTTCCTGCAAAACTGCAAACCAATGTACTGACATTTCTTGAGTAAGTGTCATGTTTTTTTAACTGCTTTTGCCAAAGCATTTCAAACATTTTAATCCAACAAAGTCCACACCAAGACTCAGTCCATACCTCAGCTACACTGAGTGTTGTAGTTGGGCTTAATACTGATTCGTTTAATTTGTTTGAAAAACATTTTCCTGTATCCGACTCAGAGTGAAAAAAACCTACCTGAGAAGAAAGATCAAATGTAGTAGGAGCAAAAGTATCAAAATCTATTCTGAATAGACCAATTATTTAAGCAGAGATTGAATGTGATGAGCTCAGATTCTATCTTTTAGTAACAATACTGTACAAATGTATTTTCAAGTGCACTGTTCAGTTTACCTCCTTTAATTTAATTTCTTGGTCCATCTCCTTAGTTTCATTCTTGAGAGTAACTGTGATACTTTTTCCTGGTGGTATAAACCTTGGTTTTTTGGTTACATTTCCTAGCACTTGACTTGGAGCTGCTGATCGCCTCATATTTAGTTGTATGGCTCTGGAGGATGGAGAAGAGAGACGGAAGGAAGCAGATAAAGACAACTAGTCAGACTAAAAATATGCCCATAGAAAACAATATAAGCACTGTTTCAAAACAAAAGATAGCATGAAAGCTTTTCCACTAACAATTCACAAGCATAATACAACTTAAGAAAAAGTAGTATTGAGGCAGTGTATTGTTTAAGTACTAAGAAAGATTGACTACAGCAAATTGTGTGATTGACTACAGCAAATTCTGTGGTTGAATGCTTCCTTTTCATATGAAAAGCCAATAGCCCAGTTCTGAATAGCAAGAAATGCTCTAGAGATGCACAATGTAGGGCTGCTTTACAAACCTACACCAATTTATAAAAAGAAAGACAATTTGAAACAGAACTAACTATTCTAAAAGGTGATTTTGAAAAGCCCATTATTAGTGCACAGTGAACAATGAATGCTGAAGGTATGTTTCCTATCTGGGAGCAGTATTTTGCATGAAACAGTCAATTATATTAGTCATTCAGATTCACTATAGTAAGATCAGAATTTAGAAAAAAAAAAAAATCTCAAAACTACAGTAGAGATTATCACTCCATGTTACATCTACTTGAACAGCAGAAAGAATGCATTATAGGTTTTCCTTAAAATTATAAGACCATTTTCCTTTAAACAACTTCAGGACAAAACCAAACATACACTGATGTTAGTATAACAATGCATACTTGCAAATGGTAGAGTAACTAATTATAATCTTAATAGTTCAAGGTAGTAGAAACAAAACAAAAGAAAATTCCAGTAGAATAACCCAGCAGCTGGAATGATGAGTACAAGCATGGTACAGCAATTTATGAAAACTACTTGGTTGATCCCCCCCAACTATTAGGTAAAAATAAACCATAATACGGATGCAGGCACAGACTTCCCTAGGTCTGTCCCATCTTGAAGCTGTTTGCATCCTGCTGCCAGAGCCAGCGCGTTTCTGTGCTCTGACACTACCCTGCACTCCAGCGGCTTACTAGGGCACAACCTTCCTTCCCAAGATCTGCAGAGCAGGAGTATCGGAGTACTGTCAAAACAGGTTGCAAACACGCAGACACTAACGCGAGTACTGCGATCTCCTTCAGAGCTGAAATCACCATAGATGTGATGCTGCTACTAGAGATAAACCTTAAAAATAGCCTAAACTGTTGTGGCTTCAGTTGTGGCTGTTACTAAAAATACAAGGAAAGTATCTCTGACCGTGGCAATTCGTAAACTGCATGTATTTGTGACTGAAGTGTTTTGGTTTCCAAATCCATTTGGACTGTGCACTGTTATTCAGTCTTAAATCACAAAACCGGACTCATTAAGAGATTTGCAAATTAGTAAGAAATTTAAAGATATGGCTCTTGGCAATTCAGTAACTTCACCCTCGTTAAATATAACAACGTGTAAGAATATTACCAGTATTACCTGTAATAAGTATATCATAACCTTTGCAGCGGTATACAGAAAGAAAGGGCACTAGGGACCTGCAGCTAATGCTGGATCTTCAGGAGGGGCTCCGCGCAGGCGCGGCGAGGGCGAGGAGCAGCCCCACATCACAGCCGCGTCCCCTGCCCAG